TCGTCTAATATATCTATCTGTGTGAAATAGTTTAAATCCATATATTTGATATTCAGCTAATAGTTCTCTATTTTCTACATTCATCCACGTTTCGGTAAGTGCAATAATATCTATTTTTTCTGTGCAGACAAGAGCATTTAATTCGTTAATTTTATTTCTTAGACTTCTACTGTTAGTGTAATATACCCTAAGTGAATTGTTATTTTGCGGACCTTCTCTTTCCCTGATCGTTTTGCCAATTCCTTTCTCCCACAAACACATACTTTTATTACCTCCTTCCTCCAAATCAATTCCCATACCTCTATCTACTACTTAATGTCATTAATTTGTGTTTCCCTGTTAGTTAACACTAAATCTAAAATATTATTTTCCCGCGTTGGTTCCTTAATGTGTTGCATAAGAAAGCAATCGTCAATTAATTCTAGAAAATCTTCTGCTTCACTATTCCCTGTTTTGTTCAACCAGTTTATTCCACTAAAATTAAAGTCACCCATGACATAAATACTGTTAGATCTAGATGCTCTAGATATTTCATTCCATAGATGCTTTGCTTCCATTCTGTCTAAATTTGGTGGCCTATATAAAATTCCTATTATATATTATTTGCTTTTTCATTTAATTCTATCCAAATAGTTTCTGTGTGTGGCTCAGTTTTGATTCCCTCTTTGAGACTACATTTCAAATTGTCCCTAACATATATGGCTACTCCCCCTCCTCGTCTAATATATCTATCTGTATGAAATAGTTTAAATCCATTTATCTGATATTCAGCTAATAGTTCTCTATTTTCTACATTCATCCACGTTTCGGTGTGCAATAATATCTATTTTTTCTGTGCAGACAAGAGCATTTAATTCATTAATTTTATTTCTTAGACTTCTACTGTTAGTGTAATATATCCTAAGTGAATTGTTATTTTGAGGCCCTTTTCTTTCCCTGATCATTTTGCCAATTCTTTTCTCCCACGAACACCTACTTTTATTACCTCCTTCCTCCAAATCAATTCCCATACCTCTATCTACTAACAGGTTAAAGCTAAAAAAACACCTCTAACCACTGGTTCCAACGAGTTCGCAACAGTAACAACCCCAGCCCTCGATAGATGCACCCCATCACGAGCATACATTTCATTTCTTCCATAGAAGCGTTCCCAGTTGTCTATGAAAGATATTGCATTTGATTTGCAATATCTTTCCAGCCGGCAATTGACACCAAGTGCCCTCGACATCCATTCATTTCCCACTCCCTTTCTTGGAATGCCACATATGATCAGGATTCCTCCCTTGCTCCTAACTAATTCAATGGCTGTCCTAAATCTCTGTATTAGTTCCTCACTCCTAACTCGCCCAACATCATTACCCCCTGCACTAATACAAATAATGGGTTTGTTTCCATTTCCCGTCATAATATCATTCATGTTTCCAACAATATCACCAATTCCAGCTCCCGGATAGCAAACCCTTAATCTGTTCCCCCTATCTCTGGCACAAAACGTTCTGTCTAAATACCTCACCTGGGAATCTACCACAATCAAAATTAGGTTCGGTACCGCCCTAACTTTCTGAGCAGCCTGAGGGGCCTGAGCTCCGCCGTTCCTCGCTGCAGGCGCACTACAGCATTCGTCCTCCAACACGGCAAATGAATTTGCCGTCCTTAGGGCGTCTGTAGGCGGCCTTATCAAGGTCTTCTTAAGACCCCTGTCTTTCACTACTCTCCACGATGAGGTCTCGTCAACACTGGTCTCCTCCTTGGTTTCCTCTCGAATTCTCAGCCGTCGTACCTCCTCCCGCAGGGAATCCATCTCTGTTCTCAGAGCTCCAACCAAACTCACCAAATCATTCACTAATCCTTCCATTATTGCAATAATAATGTTACTCCAGAGCTCCAGCTAACACAACCTCTCACTGTGACAGCACCTCCAAAATTAATTCCCCAAATTAGAAATCTTTCATATGAAGAAAGATTAACAAAGCTTAAGTTGCATTCACTGGAAAGGCGAAGAGTTAGGGGTGACATGATAGAGGTTTACAAGTGGGTGAATGGACATAACAAAGGGGATATTAATAGGGTATTAAAAGTATCAACACAAGACAGAACACGAAACAATGGGTATAAATTGGATAAGTTTAGATTTAGGAAAGACTTGGGTAAATACTGGTTCAGTAACAGGGTTGTTGATTTGTGGAACCAGTTGCCACGTGGCGTGATGGAGGTGGGGTCCCTCGATTGTTTCAAGCGCGGGTTGGACAAGTATATTAGTGGGATAGGGTGGTTAGAGATAGGAGCTGCCTCGTATGGGCCAATAGGCCTTCTGCAGTTACCTTTGTTCTTATGTTCTTAAATTGAATAGATCAATGATCCAAAGTGGATAACAAAGGATCTGAAGAACCTTATAAGTAAAAAGAGAGCCTGGTACAAAAGGATTAAGAAAGGGGAAGTCAGTTTAGAACTGGAATTCGCAGAACTGGTTAGAAATGTTAAAAAAGAGATAAGGAAAGCAAAAAGAAACTACGAAGTTCGTATAACAGGGCAAGCGAAGACAAATTGATCTAGATAGGGTTTTGAAATGGTCAGTGGATTGACAGATGCAGTTTAATGCTGATAAATGTAAAGTTCTGAGGCTAGGTAATGATGATAGAGTTACAAGATACGAGCTTGATGGTGTTGAGATTGCGAAGTCGGTTTGCGAAAGGGATCTGGGAGTTATGATTAGTAAGAATTTAAAACGAAAGGATCAATGCACGAATGTTCGTAATAAGGCAAATAGGACACTGGGATTTATTAATCAAAGCGTTAGTAACAAGACACCTGGTGTTGTTCTTCAGATATATCTTGCTCTGGTTAGGCCTCATTTAGATTATGCAGTTCAGTTTTGGTCGCCATACTATGGAATGGATATATATTCACTTGAACTTGTCCAGCGTAGGATAACTAAGTTAATTCCCCAAATTAGAAATCTTTCATATGAAGAAAGATTAACAAAGCTTAACTTGCATTCACTTGAAAGGCGAAGAGTTAGGGGTGACATGATAGAGGTTTACAAGTGGATGAATGTACATAACAAAGGGGATATTAATAGGGTATTAAAAGTATCAACACAAGACAGAAAACGAAACAATGGGTATAAATTGGATAAGTTTAGATTTAGGGAAGACTTGGGTAAATTCTGGTTGTAACAGGGTTGTTGATTTTTATAACCAATTACCACATAACGTGGTGAACGTGTAGTCCCTTGACTGTTTCAAGCTTGGGTTGGACATGTATATGAGTGGAATTGGGTGGTTATAAATAGAAGCTGCCTCGTATGGGTCAATAGACCTTCTGCAGTTACCTTTATTCTTATGTTCTTATGTAATCAATCAGTCATGGACCATTAAAAATAAAGGGGAAGATAGACCATATCAACACTTTCCGCAGCCTCTTCCATGGGAAGAATCGAGTCTAAAGATAATCATTGAAGAATTACCAGTTAAAAAATAAGTATGTGACCCGCAGAGGCTCAAAGAAGTAATAGAACAACAAATGGAAAGTATCTCAAGACCTACAACGACTCATATTTTCACAGATGGATCAATTGATTAAGAAAAAGGTTTTGCTGGAGCAACAGTTTACACTAACAACCACGAAGTTTACTGGAGCATGAGTAGTAGGTGCTCAACATTGCAAACATAATTATATGCCCTGAAGGAGGCAATAAACTATACAATTGAGAATAATTTACATGATGTCATCATTCATACCGACTCTAAATCTTCGCTCCGGGCATTGTTATACAGTCTGCACAGAGATAATACACAACTCCTCACAGAAATTCAACATATAGGAAAAAAAAATAATCTAGGACTGTCAATCACCCTAAATTGGATACCAAGTCACATTGGCATAGATGGTAATGAAAAGGCTGACGCACTAGCAAAAACTGCCACTGCTCTACCTGTTGTACAGGTTCAAATACCTCCAAGTTTTTCAGATATTAAGGAGCAAATCAAGAAGAAAATACTCCCAACTATCAAAAGTTGCCACAGAGCCAAAGTAGCGGAAGGAAGACCCACTGCGATATGGTACGAACAAGCCACTGGTTACTCCTCTTTCTTGCCTGGCAAAAAGATATCCAGAGACATTGCAGTAGCCATACACAGACACAGACTTGGTTACAAGTGCTGCTGGAGAGTAATGAACCCAATAGTTAAAGAGTGTCATATCTGTGAAACAGAAGCAGAGGCACCACTATTGCACTACTTACTGGAATGTGAAGCTACTGAACCCCTGCGCATCAAACTCAACAATAATCCAACGACAGCAGCTGCATTAGATGCACATTCCACCGCCACTACAATGATTAGAAAAGCCGTTGAGGAATGGGTCTCATTAGTGAACATTCTGCATCTACATCCGCCACCAAGATAATGTTATTAAAACAAAACTAAAACCAGTGTACTAAAACAGAAGCGAAAAATAAACCGGGAAAACGGAGGAATCCCTCACCTCCATTTTAAACTTAGACCCAAATATCACAGTAACAAGGTTATCGCGAATAACCGAACTCAATTACGGGCTCACCATAGCCCGTGCTACATGGACACCTCGTTCTGAGTATCTAAATCTAAAACAACAACAACAATAATCAATCAATCAATTTCTCCCAGAGGTTACCCTGGTGGGGGGAAAGGAAACTGAATTGCACCTCTTCTCTAACAGGGTATATAAATCACAGTTTCATGCGTAAATTGTCATACGGGCTATTCATGCCCTTGCCTCCTCTTGGGTGGCTTAATCTTTATCAATCAATCGTAAATTGTCAGTAGTGATTAAACTTGTGCTACGAAACATTAAGTGCTAACAAAATTTTATCAGTGAATCTTTCACTATTGGATAGTTTGACGTCTGCGATCGCCTTAATTTACCCCAACAGTACACAGGTTGGCCAGAGGAGGATTGTATGTACTTGGACCAATATACATTTCATGGTCTGAGGATAGCGCAGTAGGCATTAATTCACAATGGACGAAGATACGGGATTAAGGTCGCACCGGCGAGAACAGAAAGAAAACAAACGAAAAAGGAGAGAGGGGGAACGTGATAAGTGGGAGAGAGAACGAGAAAAGGAGCGTGATCACTACAAAGAGCGGGAAAACGAGAGAGACAACAAGAGTCAGACTATGACAGAGAACGCAGTAGAGAGGGGAAGAAGGCCCGTGGCAGAGCGCGACCAGGAAAGAGAACCGTTGAACAAAAGAATGCGATCACCTAAGGAAGACCTTTTAAAGGGAGAGGCGACAGAAAAACAAGAGATGGAAAAGAAGTTGAAGAAAGAGCCTTTGTCTTTAGAAGAAATTGTAGCAAGAAAAAGGGCAGAGGAGGAAGCTCTTAGCCATCCCAAATTCTTCACCAAGGCAGAGAGGCAAGCAGAGGCACTCAGGCGCAGACAAGCAGAGATCGATGACATGCACAGGAAGCAAGATGAGGAGAGGAAGGCTCGGGAAGTCATGTACCAGGATGGTCGGCGGGAACTGGAGCTGGCCTTGAGGCAGGACGATCCTCGGGAGCGTAACAGACACCGCAGGGACAGAGAGCCAAGAGAGAATAAGGAGGATGCTGAGTTGGAAAGGAAAAAGCAGCTTGAGCGAGATGTTGTTAATGAAAGATACCTTGGTATTGTGAAAGATAAGAAAAAGATTCGCAGGTTGAATGACCGCAAGTTCTTGTTTGACTGGGAAGCCAGTGAGGACTCATCAGTGGACTACAATGAGCTATACATCAAAAAGCATCCTGTTCATTTTTTTGGTCGTGGGCATTTTGGTGGGATAGACTTAAATGAGCAAAAGAAAGTTCAATCAAAGTTTTATGGAAACTATATAGAACCTCGTCGTACTCAGGTTGGCAAAGATCAAGAGTTGGTTCGCATAAAGAAAGAACAGAAGAAAGAGGATAAGAAAAAGTGGGATGATCGACACTGGAGTGAAAAGAATGTAGTGGAGATGACAGAACGTGATTGGCGGATTTTCAGAGAAGATTACAATATTGCAATCAAAGGAGGTCGCATCCCCAATCCCATTCGTAAATGGGCAGAATCTAAAATAACGAAAGATATTTTGGACATTATTGCTAGTGTTGGATTTCCGGACCCGACACCAATTCAGAGACAGGCCATCCCAATTGGCTTACAAAATCGAGACATTATTGGTGTTGCAGAGACTGGTTCTGGTAAGACTTTAGCATATCTTATTCCTCTTCTGGAATGGATTCAGTCTCTTCCAAAAATTGTTAGGTTAGAGGATGCAGACCAGGGGCCATACGCATTAGTCATGGCTCCAACACGTGAACTGGCACAACAGATCGAAGAAGAAGCGGCAAAGTTCGGAGGTCCTCTTGGCATCCGCACAGTGGCAGTTATTGGCGGCTTGTCACGTGAAGAACAAGGTATGAAGTTACGAATGGGCTGTGAAATTGTTATTGCCACTCCTGGCCGTCTAGTAGATGTGCTTGAAAACCGATACCTTGTATTGAATCAGTGTACCTATGTTGTCTTTGATGAGGCTGATAAAATGATTGATATGGGTTTTGAGCCAGATGTTCAAAAAATTCTTAAGTTTATGCCAGTGACAAATGAAAAGCCAGACAATGAGGATGCTGAAGATGAGGACAAGTTGCTGCAAAATTTTCTCTCTACACATAAGTATAGGCAAACAGTCATGTTTACAGCTACTATGCCAACTGCTGTAGAAAGAATGGCAAGGCAGTATCTTCGACGACCTGCCTATGTGTACATTGGTTCTATAGGCAAACCTGTGGAACGTGTTGAACAGGCTGTGTTCCTGGTTAGTGAACAAGAGAAGCGTAAGAAGTTACTAGATATTTTGAAGCGGGGCATTACTCCTCCGGTACTCATTTTTGTCAATCAGAAGAAGGGTGCAGATTTGTTAGCCCGTGGTCTGGAAAATCTAGGCCACAATGCCACAACTCTCCACGGTGGTAAAAGTCAAGAACAGCGTGAACATGCTCTCGCTAGTTTCAAGTCTGGAGAAAAGGATATCCTCGTGGCTACAGATGTTGCTGGTCGTGGTATTGATATTAAGGATGTATCTCTTGTCATCAATTATGATATGGCAAAGAACATTGAGGAATACACCCACAGAATTGGTCGTACTGGTCGTGCCGGAAAGCATGGAAAGGCCATCTCTTTCTTAACCAAAGATGACTCCCACTTGTTCTATGAATTGAAACAGCTAATTCTTTCATCACCAGTGTCGACCTGCCCGCCAGAGCTGGCTAACCACCATGAAGCCCAACATAAACCTAGAACAGTTATAACAAAGAAATCATGGGAATAGAAAATATTTGCATTATCAGTCCATAGGTGGTTAATTTTCACTACTTGGTCTGTTGTCCTCTAAATTTATTGGGATTGTTGAGAACAGTGATAGATGATTGTGACACTAGCAATATCATCTCATTGATAGATGAGTGTGACATTATTTAATGGCTCTAGCGTGATATTACAAGTGTCACATCACACTATACTCCAATCTTACTACCCCTGGCCTCGCTCTACCCTACATGGAACTACTGTAACTGTAATAAATAAATATAAAAAAAAAACACCAAATTTTTTTTTATCCGAACATGTGCAAAGATGAGGCCAGCTGTATTTAATCATGTGGAATTGATTAGTATCTCTTGTAGTTTTTGGAAATAATAATTTTCAACTCAATTTCTCTAGAACAGTCAGATAGAGACATGGGAAAGTGCATGATATAATAATGTAAAGTTTTAATAAAAGCATGTGGCCATTATTTTAGTTTTCCTTTTCTAAATAAAAACCTGCCATATCATATTTTCTGATATTATTATATTTTCTGATATTATTATATCAGAAAATCCTATTAGAAAAATCATATATTTTTATTATATATATGTTTATATTATATATATATATTATATTATATATATATTTTTATTATATATCATATACATATATTTAATAAGATATGATATATTTTTATTATAAGTTAATATGAAATAAGATATTTTTATTATATGGTAATAATTATTATTTTTTATCTAGTAATATGTATTATATTTTATCTAGTAATATGTATTATTTTTTATCTAGTAATATGTATTATTTTTTATCTAGTATTATTTATTTTATTAATGGTATGTAATATTAACTGGTATTAGTAGTATGTTAATATGTAATATATTATTATCTGGTAATATGTAAACATATAATTTTATTACCTGGTAATATGCAATCATATTTTTATTAACTAATAATATGTAATATTGAATTATCTAGTAATATGTAATATTGAATTATCTAGTAATATGTAATATTGAATTATCTGGTAATATGTAATATTTTATTATCTTTAAATATATAATATTTAATTATCTGGAAAAATGTAATATTTTATTATCTGGTGTTATTTATTATCTGGAAGGAGTCTACCCCAGAGAGAGTTATTCTTCTTTCCTGGCCTGATGTGAGAGGTCAGAGGAAAGATGTATGTATTAAATAACTGAATAATCGTCAGTAATTTAAAAATACGAGCAGATCGTCTGGTAATAAGTGCCATGAAATGAGATGTCGATACTTTGGTGACGTGACGCTAGCCAGACATCGTGACCTTACTTGAGACACCTTTGTGGAACTCTAATTGTGTGATCCTCCAAGAGAAAGGAAGTGAGTAGGCATTTCTGTTGTTGAGCCTATTTTGCGACATTTGTACTCAAGTCAGGACAAGAAAAAGCCTTGTGAAGCAGTTGTATATCGATTTTTTGTGGGCGGCCTGTGTGAGCGCCATGTTGAGGGCCAGGGAGTGAGTGCCCTACGTCATAGAGTGGTAAGCTTGTTTATTCAGTTGTTAGATAGATTCTGCCTGTACGCAAGTAACAGTCTGGTGCAACGACCAGAGATCTCTTTTGAGGTTTAAATCCCCAACCCCCTCCCGAAACTGTAATATGTAATCATATATTTTTATTAGCTGGTTATATGTAATCACATATTTTTATTGTCTGGTTATATGTAATATATTTTTATTATATGGTAATATGTAATCAGATATTTTCCTTTAATAATATGTAATCATATATTTTTATTATCAGGTAATATAATATTTTATTATCTGGAAATATGTAATCATATATTTTTATTATCTGGTAACCCAAATGTGTTTAAGTTGGATTTATTGAATATAAGTTAAGAAAAAGAGAGGTTTTAGGAGACTAACAATTATTAGTGTCAGATTCCGAAAAAGCTGATTTTAATGGACTAAAGAATTTGTATTGGTGTAATAGATTGGAAAGTCCTGGGCATGGTTGGTGTGCCAGTCTTGGAGCAAGACGTGAACCTATTGATGCGTGGCATAACAAGTGATTGCGATGTGAATGCAAAATATAGATTATTTAAGAATATTCTAAGCTAAGCACAGTAGTATAGAACGTAGTATACGATACAAATTGATTTGATAGAATAATAGTGATCCAAAATGGATAACAATGGATCTGAAGAGCTTTATAAGTGAATAGAAAGCTTGATACAAAAGGATTAAGTATTGGGAAGTAAATCTGGAACAAGATTTTGTTCAACTGGTTAGAAGTATTTAAAAAATAAATAGTAGTTAAATAAATATTTTATCTGTGTTTACTAAAGAAGAACTTAACATCGTTCCTTCATACAACCAAGTCTATATTGGTGGGGACGAGGACAGGTTGACTAGTTTAGCAGTTACCAGGGAGGATGTAATTAAACAAATAGTAAAACTAAAACCAAACAAATCCCCAGGGCGGATGAAGTATTTGCCAGGGTGCTTAAAAAATGCAAAGAGGAGCTTTCCGAGCCACTGTCTACAATATTTAATAAATCAATAGTCAGGCAGAGTGCCAGAGTCATAGAAGGTAGCTAATGTGGTACCAATTTTTAAGAAAGGAGATAGATCACTTGCGGCAAACTATCGGCCAATTAGCCTAACGTCTATTGTGGGAAAGTTACTTGAGTCGATAATTGCATATACAATTCGTCTTCATCTTGAAAAACATAAATTAATAAACGAGTCACAACATAGTTTTACAAATGGCCATTCATGTTTAACAAATTTGCTATCTTTTTATTCCAGCATAGTTGGGGCAGTTGATAGTGGTAAGGATTGTGATGTTGTGTACCTTGACTTTAGCAAAGCTTGTGATACAGTGCCACATGAAAGACTGATTAAAAAAATAGAGGCTTATGGTATTGGGGGTGCTATATTAAGCTGGATTAGGTTATGGCTATACCAAAGGAAACAGAAAGGAAATTTCGGGTCATTAGTATTCGATCTTTTCAATTCGTATGGTATACTACATTCTTGCGCTTCAATTGCGTTCTTAATAATTACAATTATGTTCACTATGTCCTGTATTCATCCCATGCAGTGCGACTCGTCGCCATACTAGCTGTGGGTTGTTATGGCCATAAAAACCCATGCCACGACTTCCACATTAAAAACATTACATTGCAGAAGATTGATTTCCTTCCTTCCTTCGTTTCCTTCTCTTCGTACTGGTTTTAGTCTTTTATTTTATTAACAGATGCACAGTGTTACCTTGTGTATCCCATTCGTCCAGTGGTTTTTTAACCATTGTATTAGCTGTGGAATTTGCATATAATGCAGCTGCTCTTGTTGGTTGAATGTTGAGTTTGATGCGCAAAGCTTCTGTTATTTCAGATTCCAGTAATTTTTTTGTTTTTTATTTTTACATGTAAGCATGCAAGTTAAATACAATAAATACAATAAAACAACATAACACAGTATACATCAAGACAAGATCATAACACAAAATAGAAAACACTGTAAACAAGCAATCATTTCAAGCAAATAATGAAAAGCAAACAAAACATAGTAACACATGAAACAAATCAAACAGAAGCACTGGCCGGAAGGACCGACAACAAAGCACATCATGAAGTACAACATGAAATATAACACAAGAAAATCCTAACAATACAACATGAAAGGCAGAAATATAACACACAGGGCATAGTAACAACACAAAACAAAAACATGCACACCAAACCACCGGCCTCGCAACAGATAAAGGGAGAGGCACGAGCACATAACACAATAGGGGAAACAAACAGCCAGAGGGGCACACAACACTACATAAAGCCAATAAACAGGAAATCAGCGGACATACTTGCCCGGGTACATGACCCGCAGGAACCACACATGGAACACTTCCCAGAGCAACCACCGCCAAGGGTCTTGGCCATCCACCGGGGAAGCCATAACATCCGGAACCCTAGCAACAAACACCCACAAACAGGGTACCCAGGTGGTATTTCTGACAAGGCGAGTAACCGCCATGCGTCTCCACACACAGGGAACCTGCTCACCATGAAAGTTCTCCGGTTCGTCAAACAGCATTAACTCGGCAATCGCTGTCCAGTGACCCAGCGGCATCATAGACGCCAGCAACACGACCCCCAGGGCCCCCAACGTGCATCCTCACAGGAGTGAACTTGACAGAGGGCACCACCACAGGGGCACCCACGGGCACACCACCAGACAACGGCAGGGGACCCGAACAGCACGCATCCTTCCGTAAGGTCACCACCAGGCCACGCCCAGCACCATCATCCATACCATCCCTGGCAGCAGAAGCCACCACCCTCTGCTGCTCTGTTCCTTCTGGTGGAGAAGGAACAGAAGGCATGTCCGAGACATGGGCTCCAGCACCAGCAGGCACATGTACCTCCGCCACCACGAACTCCGTAGACATCGATACATCCGGATCCACGTCAACACCCGAAGGCCCACAGTCACTGAAGTCCCCAACATCGGCCCAGGCAGAAGACAAACGCCTGGAACGTTTGGGCTCCGGCCGGATATCGTCGGAGCCGGAAGCGGACCTAGAAACACAGGCACCACTAGCCGGACGAACCGACACCCGCAGTACAGCAGCAGCGTCTACCACATGGGGAACCGGGCCACACACAGCAGGAGGCTCTGCAGCCACCCCAGCACCCAGCACAGCCGGGACCCGAGGCGAGGACACAGGGCCAGGCGCAGCAGCTAAAGACGAGGGAGAAGACGGCGACGCCTCACAGTGAGCACCAGGAAGGCCCACGGGAGCAGCGGGGACAGTGACAGGAGCAGGTAGACCATCTCACGGCACTGCAATACCCGGAGGAGGGTCTGCAACAACCGGAGGAATATCGGGCGACGCAGTGGGAGCCGCAGCAGCTAACGGGACACTCACCGCCTCATCCCTGGAGTCTTCCTCCAGAGTGAGCTGCGGGAAATCCTCTTCCCAGAACAAGTTGACGGGAGCAACCGAAGCTGCAGTGCAC